AGCCCTGCGCCCCGGCCCCGCCGCATCCCGCCGCTCCGCCGCCCGCGCCTCGCTGCCCCCCGCCAGCCCCGGCTCTCTGCTCCGCCCGCCGCGCCTCCTCTCCGACGCCTCCTCTCCTCTCCGCCGCCGCCAGCTCCGCCCCGGGGCTCAGCCCTGCGCCGGCGCCGCTCGGGGGCTCGCCCGGGCCAGAGGCAGAGCGGGCCGGGGAGCGCGGGGCAAACCGGGATTCCAATGTGGGACATGAAGGTGTTTGTGGGCAGAAGAGCAACGGAGTCACCAGCTCTTTGGCTTTCCCTGTGCAAGCCACGGGGTCAGTCCCTCCACTCACAACAGAGTGACATCAGGCTTCATGTTCCTTTCATTCAGTACCTCTTTGATCCAAGGTCTCAGCCCCTGCCTCACACAGCGTCAGGTCAATGGGCTGCACAAGTCCATTGACATGGACTTGAGAGAGGGCTGTGTCCCACTCCAGGCACCACTGGCACTGCATTGGAAACATGCACTCAGGGATGGGCACCGGGAGGTGGGCAGGATTCCTCAGCCTTCTCCTTGCCCAGAAAGCAATCCCCATCCTTTGAACTCTCTAGAGCTGGGGAGAGCAGCTGTGTCCTGGCCTGGAGAGGCAGGGAGCGGAGACTGCCAGCCATGCTGAGGAGCTCCCAATAATCTGGTACTCTGAATTCAACTACGGATCCAAGTTGGAGTGAAACTGTTCTTGTTGGGGGCCTGCAATGGTCAGGAGATTTATAGGGGCAGGAGAAGAAGAGCTCAGGAGGCAGGGGCTGCATTTCAGGGCCTCTTCCCTTCACAGATCTCCAGGGGGCTTGTGCCATCACCACTCAGCCGCACTTGGGCTCCTGCTGACCCTGGGAACATGCTGCTCTGTGGTGCCATGGACAGAGCCATAGACAGTATCCCAGCCATAACCAGCACATTCCCTACTGAGAAGGGACACACGAGAACACAGGCTCGGGCACACCAGCATGGAATCAGGCACAAACATATGATCCCATGTGAATTCAAAAAACCTGGCTGTTTATAATACAAACAAGAGAAGAAGACACATAAGAACATCATGATCCATGGACTCTCTGACTCTCCCACTGCCTGATGGAGTCAAATGTGGGGAAGCAGCAACATATGACCATAGGGGTGAGCTAAGGAGGGAAGGAAAGAGAAGGACATGGCAGGTCCTCATGCACAAGAGTCCATGGCTGGAGCATCTTCCTCAGAAGGACACTTCATACAGCCCCAACAGCATGACCCAGGCTATTTCATCTGAATCAACCCAGCATTTGAGTTGACTCTTCTGCTTGCACTGCTGCATTCCTGCCCTAGAAATCCTGGGGTCTTTCATCACTGTGCTCAGAAGAAGCTTTGATTGTGGAATGGGCATGGCACAAACCTGGAAATGAAAAGGCAGCAGTGTTGGAAACCAAAGCACAGCCCATATCATTAGCTGCGATGGTTTGCATTCAAGATGGGCTTGTCAGAAAATTGTTACCTCTACAAAGGGCGCCTCTGCTCCTGCAGCAATGAAGGGCAGGTATAAAAGCCAGCACAGGTCCCTGCTCTCTCATCCACTTCTCTGGCATCCTTCTCTTTGGGAACCAGGTGAGTCTGAAGTTCTTTTTTGCCCTCATCCAAAGTGAGATCTCTTCTTGATGTACCTCTCATCTGATATTGGCTCTCTCCTGTCTGCATTGTCTTGTCATGATAGAGGGAAGCAGGGAGAAGGTCTGCTTAGAGAGAATCCGAGATTGGCTGATGGGGCTTTTGGTTTATGCTCTAGGAGAAACCCTCAGTGGGCCAGGCTGCTCTTTGTAGGGTGATGAAGACTGTGAGTCTCCTGCCTGAGACTCCAGCTCCTCACCCACAAGCTGGCTCCTTTGTGACACGGTAACCAGGCTGCTCCTCACCCACCCTTGTGCTCTGCTTCCTCCCTTCTTCTCTCCCAGGTGCACCTCCAGACTTGAGATATGTCCCGCTACAACCAGTGCCTGCCCTGCCGGCCCTGCGGCCCGACCCCACTGGCCAACAGCTGCAACGAGCCCTGTGTCAGGCAGTGCCAGAACTCCAGCGTCGTCATTGAGCCTCCTGCTGTGGTGGTGACCCTGCCCGGTCCCATCCTCAGCTCCTTCCCTCAGAACACCCTGGTGGGATCCTCCACCTCTGCTGCAGTTGGCAGCATCCTCAGCTGTGATGGAGTGCCCATCACCTCTGGGTGCTGTGACCTCTCTGGCATTTCCAGCCGCTACTATGGCAGAAGGTCCCTCCTCTAATAAAGATGCTGGGAAAGCCTCAGGGAGGCACCTTGATGTACTCAGAACATGGTGCTGGCAAAGGATTGAGATTTGGGATGTGTTTGCAGTACAGCTGAATGGCGTTGCTTTTCTCTCCCTTTTCTTCATTTGCTTTGGTTTCCCTTGGCAGAGTACGGGGCGGGCAGGCAGACAGACATCATACATGAACTCCACAGTCAAGGATCACAGAGTCTTGACTGCCAACAGGGCTCCATGAATGGTGCCCCTCACCTGGAGTGAATTTGTTTCCCTCTTTGGACTCATTAAAGTTCTGCTGCATTCAAGCCTGGCCTCCATGTGGTCCTTCCCTCCCTGGACACTCTCCAAGCATCCAAGGAGAAAGGTGTTGCTCTGGGGTGGAAGGGTGGAAGGGTTTAGGGAGACCCTTCTCCATTAAAGGAGAAGTTTGAGGATGGGACACCCTTGCAGTGGTTCCTCCTTTGAGGACCATCTCATGGAGCTGAGGGGCCCACAAATGCCCAGGAAGGCAGGAGGCCCTGAGGCGGTGGAAGCCCCATGAGCTCCTGAGGAAGGTTGTTCCTCTTGCTGTGGCCAGAGCTACTCTGGGGTGGCTGGGGGTGAGCGTGGGGCTGCAAAGTGCCTTTCTTATGGGACTCAAAACAAACCAGCAGCTCCTGGTGCAAAACATTGGATTGATTTGGCTCCCACTCTTGTATTATTATGTGCAAGAAATGTTTTCCATTAGGAACCTTGGCTGCAAGAGAAACTCAGCCAGCTCATGGTGACAGAGGAGGCTGCAGGCAGCTCCCTCTTGCTCCAGGCAGTGACACCACCTGCAAAACACCAGAGGAAAAAAGGCCCATCCCTTAAAACCGGGGAAGATATCAAAAGAAGGCATGAGCGTTTTCAGAGCAGCCAAGCCATGTGTTCAGCTGCTCTGTAAATTCATGTTGCTCCTGCATTTCTCTGCCTTTTGAAGAGGGTGTTTACCTTCAAGTGAGTCTGGAGACAGGTTCACTCCTCCATCCCTTCTGATGTCCCAGCCTCAGTGTCTGTAGCCTGAGGGGAGGCTGGCTTGTTCCAGACACAATCTCTTCTGCTGCCACATGAGTGTGTCACTGTGGGACCGCTCCCTTTGCAAGGGCAGGGGCTGGTTCCAGACCCTTGAGGACATCAACAAGGTCAGGTGGGAGTTTCCAATGCTGTTGGATTTTCTTTTGCTTCTAATTTGAGAATTCTTTAGGGGGCTGGATCAATGGCGATGTTCCCTAGTTTTAATATTATCTCTCACAGACAGACCTGAGAGGTGGAGAGGCTCTGTGTCTGGGAAGGCCATGCCAGCTTTGGCTCCACTGTGGTTTCTCTCTGTCTCGGAGTCAGACAGCAGCTGACTGAACCACTGCCAAACCCTTGAGCTCAACTAAAGCTGATGGGACTGGCCAGTGACTGATTCCTTCCTCACCTGTAGGGTCTGAAGGACTTGCCTGGAGCTCTCTAGAGGGGCTGAGAGCTGGTGTCAGGAGCCCATGTTCTCAGTGGGGTGTGTGCATGATCGTGCTCGTGTACTTCTTTCTCTGGCTGTGCTCATGTATGTGGGGAGGCCTGGGGATGTGGTAGGCCTGAGGAGAAGCCATACCAATAAAGACTGAGGATAAATAGGCTTTGAGTATATCAGCCTTTTCGATGTCATTTGTCACCAGGTCCCTATCCTCTCCAAGCAATAAGCCCACTCATACTTAGCCTTCCAAGCACCCTCATCCCATGTTTAAGCCCCATCTCCATGTCCAAATAGCTTGAAGACTGATGGATGTCACGGAGAAAGCTTTTGTGTGGGTGAAGGCACTGAAGCTGGGCACATTACTTTATTCAGCTGCATCTCCCCCTCACACCAATCACAGATCAGTCTTCCCTCAACCGCATTGAAGCCTTGGACACAGGGCTTGCAGAAGATGCCTCTGTCAAGTCCAGCACAGTATAGTGGTCCTGGACCATGTAGACAACTGTGGTCATCAGTGGAGGTCAAATGGAAGAAGAGAACAAGGTCATGGGTTATACTCCCTGAGTTGTCACTCTGGGTACCAGCTATTTTAAGCAGAGGGCATTTACAAGCCTGGTTTGGCTTCTGTATGGTGTAGCCTCCAATGGAGATGCCTGAAGTCAGGTTTCTTGGGCTCTTTCATCATCAAAGACCCTTGGTCTAGAGGCAGCTGTAAAAGTCACACTGGCATGTGCTTCACAGCAGCACAGGCTGGGGAGGCAGAGGCCCAGCCTCACCACAGCCCCAGGTGCCCCTGCTGGGCAGGCTGAGCTCTGAGCTCCATGCAAGCAGTGGCAGGGAGGGAACCGCTCCTCAGAGCACCCCCACCTTTCTGTGCACTGCTGCCAGCTGTGGGCACCAGTGTGGGCTCAGTGCACAGAAATAGGCTCCGCTGTCCTGGAGCTCGGCGTCCCGCACATGCAGAAGCACCTGGGAGGTCTCCACAAACATTGCAGAGGAGAACCTCCCTGAATCCACCCGAGGTTTCCCTTTGTACACCCACAGCAGCATCTGAGGGGATTGGCCCTGGTGCTGCTGGTACCAGTAGATGTAGGGATAAGAAACAGTGGTGGAGAAGTTGCAGTGCAGAGTTGCGTTGTGTCCTGCCTGGATGGTCATTTCTGGTGGGAACTGGA